TTCTGGGTTTAGTGAAGTCCAAAGCACCTGGGTTGTATAGAAACACTGGTCTGGGCCTGAGTCTTTTCATCAAACTGCACCCCATGCAATTCTATATCCCTGGCCACTCTCCTCTTACGCTGATTGGGGTGCAGATCAGCTGTCTTTGCTGTGCCCCAGTGTTCTCCCAGTGGGCCCATCTCCCCTACCGCCTGTGCTACAAACACTTCCCATGGTACAGGCTGTACACCAGTCCCTTGCAATGACTCACCAGCCTCTGAGTGGCTCCTTTTCTTTTTAGTTGTTTGGGCTCCTCACTCCTATGTGGGTCATGGGAACCCTACTAGTGGTCTTATTGGCCTGGGAGCTACCAAGGCCCTCTTCTCCCCTGCCACTTCCATGCAGCCTCATCTGAAGGGCACAGCTGTGGCTTATGCCGGCTCCTGCCCTGTGCTCTCAGCAGCTCCAGCCTGGAAGTGGCTGGGGCTCAAAATGGTTGGAGCAGTTTTTTCTTTCTCTCATCGTGGCTTCTCCTGCCTTCATGCACTCCGTAGGTCTCTCCTCCTTGTCCCCTGAGCTCTAGCAGCCCCAGCTTGGCTGCTGTTGCTTTTTAATAGTTATAAGTTAGTTGATTTGTGGGAGAAAGTGATGCTGGGGACCATCTATTCCACCATTTTGACCGGAACTCTCCCACTATTCTACTTTCTGTCTTTATCAATTTGATTATTCTAAGTACCTAATAGAAGTCAAACCATACAATATTTGTCCTTTTGTGTCTGGCTTATTTCACTTAGCATAACGTCTTCAAGGCTCATCTATGTCGTAGCACATATTATAATTTTATTCCTTTTAAGAGAATAATATTTCATTGTATGTATATATCACATTTTGTTTATCCATTGATGGACATTTGGGTTTTTTCTACCATTTGGCTATGGTGAATAATACTGTTATGAATATTATTTTGCTAGTATTTGTTGAGGATTTTTTTATCTATATGCATGAGGGATATTGGTCTATAATTTTCTTCTCTTGTACCATCTTTATTTATTTTGGTGTAAGCATAATGCTGCTCTCATAAAATGAGCTAAGAAATATACCCTTCTTGATGGGCCATAATAATCATATACATTGTATATTGACAAAATAAAAATTTAATGAAAAAAATATATATACCCTTCTCTTCCACTTTCTGGAAGAGACTGTGTGGAATTGGTATTATTCCTTCCTTGAATGTTTGATAGAATTCACCAGAGAAAATATGAACCTGGAGTTTTCTTTGTTAGAAGATTTTAAAATACAAATTCAATTTTTTCTAATAGATATGGGACTGTTCAGGTTATCTGTTTCTTCTTGAGTGAATTTTGATGATTTGTATTTTTCAAGAAATGAGACCATTTTCATCTAGGTTGTTGAATTTATGGGCATAGAGTAGTTCATAGTATTGCTTTATTATCCACCTAATGCCTGTAGATAACCCTTATTACATTCCTGATAATTGTTCATTTGTGTCCTCTCTCTCTTTTTTTTTCCTTGATCAGCCTGGGATTTATCAGTTTTATTGACTCTTTTCTAAGAATCAGCTTTTGGTTTCACTGATTTTCTCTATTGGTTTTCTGTTTTCTATTTCACTGATTTCTGCTCTTATTTTTATTTCCTTCCTTATTTGTTTTGGGTTTAATTTGATCTTCTATTTTCTTAAGAAGCTTGAATTATTGATTTGAGACCGTAAGTATTTGATGTTATAAATTTCCATCTAAGTACAAATTAAGTTGCATCTGACATGCTGTATTTTCACTTTTATTCAATTCAGATATTTTCTAATTTTCCTTCTTCTTTGACACGTGGGTTATTTAGAAGTTTGATTTCCAAATATTTAGAGATGCTCCAGATATATTTCTGTAATTGATTTCTAACTCAATTCCTTTGTGGTTCAAGAGCATACTTGGATTTCAATTCTTTAAAAATTTTTAAGGTTTGCTTTATGACCCACAATAAAGTTTATCTTGGGGAATGCTTCCTGTGCACTTGAGGAGAGTGTGCATTCTGCTGTCGTTGGATGGAATGTTATATAATTGTGTCAACTGTGTCATGTTATTTGATACTGTTGTTCAGGTCTTCTGTTTTCTGTCCACTTGCTCTATCAATTATACAAAGCAGAGTACTGAAGTCTCCAAGTTTAATTGCAGATTTCTTTTTTAAAAGAACTCCTTTCGGTTCTGTCACTTCTTGCTTCACACATCTTGAAGCTCTGTTGTTCAGTGCATACACATTAACAAATGTTATGCCTTCTGGATGAATTGACCCTTGTATCATTATCTAATGTCCCTCTTTTCCCTGACAATTTTCTTTGTTCTGATGTTTATATTTTCTTTTTTTTTTTTTAAAGATGACCAGTAAGGGGCCGGCCCGGTGGCGCACTGCTATAGTGCGCCGCTTGGGAAGTGCGGCGGCGCTCCCGCCGAGGGTTCGGATCCCACATACAGACCGGTTCCCGCTCACTGGCTGAGTGAGGCGCGGGGGCAACACCGAGGGCTGCGATCCCGTTGCCGGTCCCGGTCCGGTACGGGGGCGACACTGAGGGTTGCGATCCGTTGCCGGACACGGAAAAAGACAAAAAAAAAAAAGATGACCAGTAAGGGGATCTTAACCCTTGACTTGGTGTTGTCAGCACCATGCTCTACCAAGTGAGCTAACTGGCCATCCCTATATAGGGATTTGAACCCATGGCTTTTGTGTTATCAGCACCACACTCTCCCAGTCCCTTGATGTTTATATTTTCTGATATTAATCTAGCCACTCCAGCTTTCTTTTCATTATTATTTGCATGGTATATCTTTCTCTACCCTTCTACCTTAAACATATCTATGTCATTACATTTAAAATGGGTTTCTTGGGCTGGCCCGATGGCGCACTGGAGAGTGTGCCACTTTGGAGCGCGGCAGCGCTCCCGCCGAGGGTTCGGATCCCATGTGGAGACCGGTTCCCGCTCACTGGCTGAGCGCGGTGCGGGCACAACACCGAGGGTTGCGATCCCGTTGCTGGTCTCTGGTACGGGCGTGACACCGAGGGTTGCGATCCCGTTACCAGTCAGTAAAAAAAGACAAAAAGGAAAAAAAAATGTAATAAAATAAATGAAAATAATTCTTAACTATAGAAAAATAAATGAAAATAAAAATAAGTAAATGAAAAATAGAACAGTGCCGTTCAATAGAAATATAAAGTGAACCACAAATATGAGCCATATATGTAATTTTAAATTAAAAAATACAAAAATGCAGGTGAAATTAATTTTAGTAATATATTTTATTTAACCCAATATATCCAAAAAATTATCATTTCAACATGTTATTCAATATAAATTAATAAAATTTTTTTACTTCTTTTTTTATACTAAGTCTGAAAATCGGTGTGTATTTTACGCTCACAGCACAACTCAATTCAGACTAGCCACATTTCAAGAGCTCAGCATGCACATGTAGCTAGTGACTACCATTCTGGGCTGCATATGCCTGGAACCAAGGTGAGGCATATGTTTATTAGATCCAAATAGTATTTCCTATCAGATAAATGCTATGGGACTTAGGAAAGTTATTTTATAAATCCATACATTAAAGTGAGTTTGTATTTTTATATTTTTGGCATAGTATGTGATATGTAGTATATAATAAGAATTTAAAATAAAATATTATCTATACTGAGTAGACTATCCAAAATAAAAGCAACCAAAAATGATTATTATGTCACTAATATTCATTTTTCTATATTTATTTTTGAGGTTATTCTGTATATTAGGATTTAAATGATATATTAATTTGACATAGAATCAAATAATCTCAAAAAAGAAAATAAAACCTGACATAACTATAAGCACACAAACAATTCAAACTATAAGCTACAATTGATAAAGTACATCTTCCAGCCAAGAAACAGGATTGGAAAACAGAATATTTCTCTATACTGCAAAACTTTTCATTTCACTGGACCTTCTATTACACTGACCACCTATCATGACAACTTAATTATATGTAAATATAATTCTAAGTCAATATAGCATAACACTTAATGCATTAAAATGATTGATTTTATGGGTTTAAAATGTCAAATATCACTTGTATTACATTCATTATTAAAATTACACTGAATAGTACACAGTAGGTAGTTTTTTTAATCTTGAGCTCAAAGAGTAGAATGGAAAATGTATAGAAAACATTTCTTAACTGCAAAGTCTTTTTGAAAGCTATCCACAAAACACAAGTGCATGGGCATGCACAGGCATGTGCACATACACGTTTATGTATTGAACAGTATGTTCTTGTTTTCTGTGTGTGGAGATGCCCTGAAATTGCTATGTTTTCGTTAGTCTTTCTCGGGTTACCAAATAGTACAACACAGTGGTCAGATAAAACAAGAGTGAAATGGAGACAGAATATTAGACAGACAATTCCTTCCTCATTTCAAATCTGACAAGGATGATTTAGTTACCTACTATAACTTCAACATTACAAAGGGTTATGAAATTCTTAATGACTGAAAACTCTTTGGACTTTGATTTTTCATTTACTGTGTATTCAAAAGATGACACTTCTAGAATACAGGTCCTCTCCCTTAGACATTTTGTCAGTATGCTCAGTCAGAAGTGATACATGAGGGAAAAACTGCTACTAGCTGCATTATTAACTTTATTAGTTCAGTGGCACCACTTATGAGTCCTTCTGCAGTCTCCTGACCAAGATTTCACCTCACCCAGCCCTGCTCAGGCTTAAGACCAACGAGGAGTTCACACTACAAAGTGGTGTAGCTGCAGAAGACAGAGTCTAAGTACTTATATCATCATATTCATATTCATTTAAGCTTTCCCAAGCAGCTATTGCCTCAGTTAGGAGTGCATTTCCTAAGCCAACAAATGACGCGTAGAGTCGCTGATACTAAACGTAAACACGAAGGCATATGCTGCACAATTTTAAACACTTGGCCAAACCTCAGAACTAAAACTACCCAATGTATTAAGAAAGACTCACATCTGGCATTTCTGTAGAGAAGGAAAGGATCCTGGAGTTGGAAATCCAGGTCTTTAGTAATGGGTTCTGTCCTATTTTCCATGCTCAGCCTATTCATAATGGTGAATCCGTGCTTTGGAGAAGCAGACCTAAAAATCACCCGGGGGTGTGGGGGAGACCAAAAGACAAGTTGCTCAGTATACTACAATTTCAGTACAACTACATTCTGATATGTCTCTCAACCGTTTGGTATGTATATACAGCTTTGCACAAGCAGACGTACATATAAAGCAACATTTCTTTATCATTGGCATTATGGGCTAATTCATATGTAATACACCATGGTTATCATGGCCATTCCTTTGGTAAAAGTAAGTCGTTCTTCTTTAACTATTGGGGTGTATGTGTCTGTCTGTCTGTCTGTCTTGTTTCCCTACCTCAGTTGTAAATTCTTTTAAGGCAGAGATGGTAACTATTTTTTAAAACATTACTGACAGATACACTTCTAAAGAATCTCGGTAGTTAATATAGAGCAATCATACAAAGAAAATTTTCACAGAAAATGTTAGTGTTGGTCAGAAATTGAGAGCTGCAAAATCTCTTAGAGAAATGAAGCAACTCTGGTCAATGAACTTGTGAGAAGAGTAGTTTAAAAGTTCATGCAACAGTGCAAAGGGCAGATATTTTGTTTTCTTCCATATAAAGCAAACAGCTTCATGGATAAACTACTCTAAAAGTTTTCTCCATAAAAATGTGGCATTGGGCCGGCCTGTGGCTCACTCGGGAGAGTGTGGTGCTAATAACACCAAGGCCACGGGTTCAGATCCCTATATAGGGATGACCGGTTTGCTCACTGGCTGAGCGTGGTGCTGACACCACCAAGTCAAGGGTTAAGATCCCCTTACCAGTCATCTTAAAAAAAAAAAAAAAAAAAATGTGGCATTTACTGAGTTTTTATTTTTCATTTTATTCAATAAGCTTTGACTTCCTACTTTATTAGGCAGAAAGAACCCAAATTATACACAGTATATTATACATGTAACAACTATGTGCGCATTTGCCTACTGTTGGGTAACAGCCATATAGTAATTCAACTGTGTAACTTCTGATGACAAATGAAACACCACATCCCTCACACTGAAACTAAAGCAAGCAGAATTCATTTATTTACTTTAAACTAGAGTACTAAGGTTGTTATTAACAAACCCACAGAAATATTATGAGAAACAGGAAAAAATGTGTTTACATCTTAGTTTTATTTTACCTCGAACCATCTGATGCTGATAAAGAAGTAAAATACAGCTACATTACCACTTACAGGATTTTCTTTTGAAACCTCTAATTTTAAAATTGACGGAAAGCCTTGCTTATTTTACCAAAAGCTAAAGTGCTGGTAGGCATATATCAACATCAGAAATAATCATAATAATCATTTCAACTTAAATTCAGAGGAAGAATAAAAATGTACTCCCAAAGAGGGTCCTCCAGAAGTGTCAAGTTCAGAAATCACCAGTGGGTGTCTCTATGAACTCTCAATTACAGAAAGGAAGACATAGTAGGAAATACAGTAAAGAAATAGTTTTAAAAATGGGATTAGGTGTTTTTATATAGGAATCAGAGTTTGATTCTTCTCATATTTGATTATCACAACAGGGTCTCATCTCTTTCTTTAACAGTATGGGTACTATACCATCTTACAATTTATAAAATAGGCCCACGCAACTGCTACAAAGCAGTTCTAAAAGCAGACTTCCCTTCAGCAAGAGAAGTCAAAATATATCACTGGCAGCACTGTTACCTGTACCGAAAACTGCCTTTTAATGTTTACGTGCTTTCTATCTATCAAGGAAAGACTTTAACATACTAGAATCTTGTTTGTTGTTGTTTTCTGGGGGAGGGAGAGGGTGGTGAGAGGGGCAGGGAAAGCCATCCTATTCTTGAGGAGTAAGACTTGGGGAAGAGATTAAAAAACAGGAAGTTTTTTCCTCAATTAAATGGTTTGTTGAACTGACAGCTTCACTAGAGATATACAGTACATTAATACTTGAAAATACAAACCTATATTTGGTTTTAGTACCAAAGAGAAAATATTTCTATAATTTGTTATTCTCCCATGCTCAAAAAAGAGAACACTAAAAATCACTAAAATCAATCATTAATACATATTAATACATCTCTTCTTTCATTTCTCAAAAAAATAATACTTGTGAGAAATGAATGAGAATGCATACTGTGCACTTGGCACATAGCAGAGTTCAATAGTCTGGGTTTTTTTACACTTCAAAATTCTCAAGGGTAGTCATACTCTACTGAATAAACTCACTTGGTGGTGTGCTCTGGTGTCTTTGGAATGCTTTGGAAAACAGTGTAGACTTGGGCACTCCCACGGCTTTTCTGAGACTGAATAATCTGACCTCCTTGTTATGGGGTCCAATGACCTCACCATTCATTCCTTCCTTTCCACCCTCCCTGCTGCCTCCACTTGGACAGACCTTCCTCCCCCACTGCCGACCTCCCTCTAGCACACAAAGACCCCCACCATTCTTGCACTGTGTTCACAACTGGTCTCCATGAACCGTTCCAGTTCTGCTTCTATCTTTATGGCTGGCTCTCCTCCATATACCAGCTGGCTCTAAACCCAACCATTAGCCCTTGCCAGTTTCCTCTTTGTACTCACTCTTTCAGAGAACACTTTTCCTCTCATGGTTTCAACTACCAAATTATTTCAGATGACTCCAAACTCTATGTTCCAGCCCTGACCCTAACCTGAGTGTCTGGATACCTCTATTCGAATGCCCTGCTACCATCCCAGAATCATTACTTCAAAATAAAGTGAAGACTTATCCTTAAACCAGATTCTTGACTTCCTATTTTTCTATTCCGCCAGTAATTTTGTCATTCTGTCTTCCACTCTCAAAATATTAATGTTATTTTTTAGTTTCACCATTCCCTCTATACATGCAGTCTTTTTTTTTATAAGATGACCAGTAAGGGGATCTTAACCCTTGACAGGGTATTGTCAGCACCACTCTCTCCCATGAGAGCCACATGGCCATCCCTATATAGGGATCCGAACCCGTGGCCTTGGTGTTATCAGCACCACACTCTCCCAAGTGAGCCATGGGCCAGCCCCATACATGCAGTCTTTCAATGCCCTTTCCATTTCAACTTCTACCATTCTAGTCCAAACTCTCATAATCTCATATCTATTCCACTGCAATAATCTTCTCGGGCCGGCCCGGTGGCGCACTGGATAAGTGCGCCGCTTGGGAAGCACGGCGGCACTCCCGCCCAAGGGTTCGGATCCCGCATACAGACCGGTTCCCGCTCACTGGCTGAGCAAGGCGCGGGAGCAACCCCGAGGGTTGCGATCCCGTTGCCGGTCCCCGGTCCGGTGCGGGGGCAACACTGAGGGTTGTGATCCGTTGCCGGACACGGAAAAAGACAAAAAATAATAATAATAATAATAATCTTCTCAATGTCCTAACTCCAATTTTTTCTAGAACCAATGCATCTTCATGTTAATACACTGACTTTCTCCATACATTTTCTCATAACTCTATTACTATCCTGTTCATAAACCTTCAATGATTTTCTACTGCTAAGAAAATTCCAAAATCCTTAGTGTGCCATTCCAAGCCAGGAAAGCTCTTTACACTTGCTGACTGATAAAAACCAATATAAACCCTCTGCACCAAAGTCATTTTCCTGACTGTACCTTTAACATACTAGGTTCCATGCCTCTGCTTTTGCCACTCTTCCTACTGAGAATGCCCTCCCCTCTCCTCTATGCAAGTTAAGTTCTACCTTATTCCTGAGGCCCAACTTAAGACCCTCCAATTCTATAAAGCCTTCTACAATCACAGCTGTCCATTCATTGCTTATAACCAACCTATCAGCTGGCACTTAGGATAGTCTATCCTGCATTGTGGTTTATCTGAAATGTGAATATATGTATAAAGAAAATATACCTGTGAGTATGGGTGTGTGTATTTCCTATCTCCCCAGTGAAACTGTTACCCACAGAACGGTTTGTACTAGGCCTTTGTATTTCATCTTTGCACCCCCACTGCAGGCTTCAGCTATGACATTCTATGTGAATGGTTATGTGAATAAAAAGTTTAGCAATTAGGACATAAACATACATGTGTGATGTTAATAATATCTGATAAAATGAACAACTAAAAACATGAGTTTACTAAATCTATCCTGAAACACATTCTACACTAATTAGACAATGGAGGAATAAAAGACATCTTCAGTTTTGGATCATGCTTTTTTAAACAGTCAAGGGTGAGGAAAGGGTAATCAATAAAACCCTTTTCCAAATATTGATTAAATAATCTAATATTCCTAACAGTGTACTTCTTAGCTCCTTGCCAATGCATTATATTCAAGAACTTTGTATTATTCATTTGAAGCAAAGGATAAATATTTAACACTTTTTAAAACAGAACAGTCAAAGATTTAAATTCATCTATATTGAAGTTTAAATTATATTCTGAAGTTAGTTTCATCAGAATACCAGATGACAGTATTCAGTATTCTCCTTCCCATGTCAAGTAATAATTTCAAACTAAGATTCAGTTCTTTTACTTCTCTTTGAAATAAAACACATGGGGCCGGCTCGTGGCTCACTCGGGAGAGTGCGGTGCTGATAACACCAAGGCCCCGGGTTCGGATCCCATATAGGGATGGCCAGTCAGCTCACTGGGTGAGCGTGGTGCTGACAACACCAAGTCAAGGGTAAAGATCCCCTTACTGGTCATCTTTTAAAAAAAAAAAAAAAAAAAAAAAAAAGAAATAAAACACATGAAGAGTGACACAATTGAGCTAAAATATTATTTCAAAGATTGTCAGTTTCTTTATAAAAGTAAAATACTCTTACCTTGTGTAAACAAATAAGGTTCCTTCCACATCAGTCTTCTCCTAAAACAAACAAACAAACCCATAACACATGTATGTTCTCTTCATTCAGAGGCAGAGAACATGAACTTCTCATAGTACAAAATAGGAATTACACCCAATTTTAAGCAGGTGAAACAGCAGAGGGCCAAATGTGTGCAGCATGAGGGGATACTCTCAGGGAAAGAAGGAAGCAGGCTCTATGCATAACCGTGGCTCTGCTGACTAGGCAGCTGGAAGCAGGCATTCTTTTGTCATGTACAAAATAAACCATCATTGTCTTCTTAACAAAATACAGGGATAGCAACACACCTTTAGCTGAAAAAATGAGGAAATAGGTGTGCTCCACGGATTTCATTAGAAAGAAGAGTTGATAAAAGTGTGCTGCCTTTTCTGCCATCCACCAAATTGGATATATAATAAGCAGCAGAAATCACTGGTGTATGCATTTCATTATCCTTCACTTTGTTTTCCAGGTTCATTTTCTCTTGTCATATCCTGTCACCTAGGAGAGTAGATGATCTGCCAATAACTCTGCTTTGACTGATAGATAGAAGAGGGTAAGATGCTGTAGAGTTCAGATGAATAAATCACCTACTTGGTGTGTAATATTTACAGTCAAGTTCTGACTAAAGATCTCTGAAATAAAGTTAGACCAAATTATTACCAACTTAGGACTCATGGAATTTGCCTAAGAAAATCTGGGGAGGTGGTAAAGTTAAAATGATAGTTCAGTTAGTTCATTTGGCCTTTCTTTTCTGTTTCTCCAAAGGCAGGAACCCAGGCCCCAATGTTAATGTTCATCACTGTAATGCATACTAATCATACATATATATATGTTTCCAATTGTTTGATTAGTTAGAACTTAAAATGTACTTTTGCTATTTACATGGTTTAATTTCAGCATTATATTTAAGCCCTCAATATTTTATTATTAATATCCATTACCATAAGCATTCAAATTTAAGTACTCTGTAATTCTGGGGAAAAATACACTCTTTAAGAAAAAAGGTGTATCGTTGAAATAATTTTTACAAGGCACACAAAGGGCCGGCCCATGGCTCACTTGGGAGAGTGTGGTGCTGATAAAACCAAGGCCATGGGTTTGGATCCCTACACAAGGATGGCCAGTTGGCTCACTTGGGAGAGCGTGGTGCTGACAACACCAAGTTAAGGGTTAAGATCCCCTTACCGGTCATAAAAAAAGTAAAAAATTAGAAATAAATAAATAAATAATAAAAGGCACACAAAAATTTAAAGTGCAATCCTTTCGCACGCTCAAGTAATTTCAGCAATTTCCCTGCTCATCTTAGTTCAGTGGGTCTCAAAGTGTGATCCCCAGATCAGCAGCATCAACATCACATGGGAATTTATTCAAAATGAAAATTCCTGGACCCATGCCCAAACCTACTGAACCAGAAACTCGGGGGGGGGGGGGGGGGGGGGGGCGGGGGTTGCTGAGCAATCTGTTTTTTATTAAACTGTCCAGGTGATTTTGATACATGCTAGTTTGAGAACCATTACTTTAGTTCAATAACATATTCTCTGTCCATGGAACTATATTAGTCATAAAACCAAAATCCACTATGGCCCAAATTATACCAAACTACCACCAAACATTGTTTTTTAAGAGTAAATGGATATAATAAACATCATTATTTAATAACAAAATATATAATCTCAAGATGTTTATTATTATAGAATATGCAATTAGAAATATAGAATTTAAAACAAATAAAATAATTTTAGCCTGTCTTCTCTATAACATATAAGCATAGGTAAGAAAGTTAGGTAGCTCATCCTTAAACTGGATTTGCTATGAAGTTTGTATAAATGACTCCAATATACTGTGAAAAGTATCCTTATTTCTGAAATGTGGCCCATTTGCCATTGTGCTTTGAAAACTATTCCAAGTCAAAATGCAAAAAATACATACACAAACACTACTTCTTATCTCTCTTTGTAAACAAACATGGTTAATTCATATCTGTTGGGAAATCTATATCCTGAGTGCACTTTAAGGACTAAAAATTACTTAAACTCAAACCACCACAGTATTAATCATTGAGCAAATGGCCACAATACAATAAATGCTACCCAAACAGTCTAATAATTCGTAGGTGCTCCTAAAGTTTAACCGGTGCAGTCAGCAAGTATTTACTAGTTCACAAAGACTTTAAGTACACATTTGTAAAAACTAAATATTTGGTATTATCCATTCAATTGACAAGAAACTGAAGGCAAGATCAGATGATGGAACTAGGACTTTGAAGTACCTATGGGTATTGTCAGGATCACTTGCCACAAGGCCACATCAGTTTCCTGTATTTCAGTATTTGACCTTGGACTGTTTCACCTTAGAGATCCAAATCAAGATTTTATATATATCAGCACACATAAAGATAATAGCTTCTGACTCGTTTCCTTTCTTCCTCGATGTAATAGAAATTCCCTTTCTTAAAAAATTTTACGGGCCGGCCCGTGGCTCACTCGGGAGAGTGCGGTGCTGATAACACCAAGGCCCCGGGTTCAGATCCCATATAGGGATGGCCGGTTCGCTCACTGCCTGAGCGTGGTGCTGACAACACCAAGTCAAGGGTTAAGATCCCCTTACCGGTCATCTTTAAAAAAAAAAAAAAAAAAAAAAAAAGCACGGGCAACCAAAGGAAAAATAAACAAATGGGATTATATCAAACTAAAGAGCTTCTGCACAGCAAAAGAAACAATTAACAGAGTTAAAAGACAACCAACAGAGTGGGAGAAAATATTTGCAAAATA